AGACAAAACAATTACAAGTTTTCTTATATATGTGAACATTTTTATTACAATGAAATACAGCTAAGACGACTGTTAAAGAGTCAATGAAGTACAAAAATAGGTGTGCACATTGAAATGATTGTTCTTTACATTCATTATATTTCAACATTTAAGGTGTGTTTTTTAAGGTATCCTGGTGCTCGGTGAAAAGAGTAACTGTGGATACATTTAACTGCTCTATAAAGATAATATGCTTTGGTATTGTAAAGTGTTTAAGAGAACACACATACACACACACGCACACTCTTGTCTTTGCTCTCTCTCACACAGACAGGCACATTCAACTTTTTGAAACTTTATTTTGTTAGTACATTCAGTAAGTGATGCAACTCCTCAAAATCAGGACGCTTCACTAATTCTGATAGTGTTTTTAGTTAGTTTTTGTTAGGTTATTAGTTTATTAGTGGGTTAGTATGTTAGTTTGCAGAGAGCTAAGGAAAGCTCTTTGGTTAGTAAATGTTAATATAACTTAGAGGTTAGTAGCTTGTGTTTATAAGGATTTCTGTAGAGCATGTCACCGCCACGGTTAGAATTATATAGTTCCCATTGCTAAAAAGCATACACTCATGGCACTCAGAAATGTTTTGGATAGAAGTTTCTGTGTAAAATAATTGAGTGAAAATCACTTAAACCATGAGGCATGCTTTGATATAATTAAAGATTAACAAAAGTCATTTGATCACAGATTAGAGAGAATTATTAGTGAGAAATAACACAGATGTTAGTAAGAGCAACCGGTGGGCCTTTATCACCTCACCACTGTTAGTATCCACACCATAATAAGTTAGTATGAGGTTTGCTAGGCCTGCTGGAACAGCAATACAGGCACTCACCTGCGAGGGTTGACCACACAGCGCACAGACCGTCTCTGCAGATGTGAATTTAGCCTGTGAAGCGTGACGATGCATTTTTGGGAATCAGATCATAATCAGTGTTGTGAGGAATCTTCTAACGTATGTGGTCAACCCAGTTTGATATCCGCAGCTGTTTCTGCTCCTCTTTTTATCTACTGGTTAATAACATTTCCCTTCCCAAGTCCTGAAACCCTTCTTGACATGCTCACTTTAACAGTTTCTCATTGATTTTCCCCTTTAATCTGATTTCAAGAAGAAGGATTGCAGGCTCATGAGAGAGGAGTGTGTGCATCGGACTGCGGGCATAAAGCAGAGGGTTAGTCAGTGAGTTAGGAAGAACAAGGCCAGCCATGAGCATTCAGAGTACATGTTAGTAATCACCCGACTGTTAGCAGATATTAGTATTGTTAGATATTAGTCAGATACTGTTAGTATAATCCAGACATGGGTAAAAAGCTATTTGGACATAATTATTAGCATTTGCTGTAATTTGCTGGAGTATCAGATGATGGGGCTGTAGGAATCGGGACAGTTTAATTAACGCTAGCATACACCATTTAGAAAACTACACACCATTAATTTCCAGCGACATTCCTGCAATTATCTAAATCACAAGAACCCCCACCTAACTGGTACTGCAAATATGTCGTAACAAATGCCAAGAATCATTTGTAAATACTTTTTTATCCTTTGTCCGGTACATCCATTGTGTTTAAAGAAGAATTTCAGGCATGTTAAAGTCTGTGCAGCGATAGAAAACCACTGAAAAGCAGCTAGTAGCTTCAGGCCCATTACAAACGTGTTTCATCAGACTGACACATGCACACATAGGAACAAACACGCACAGAAATAGAGCACATGCACAGACACACACACACAGACACACACACACACACACCCACGCGCTACAGCAGAAATACGCAGTATATGCACTGAATACAGTACAATAAAAGAAGCTGACATCACACATAATAAGGGTGTTTCAAGACAAACAAAGAACATATTGTCAAAATGTGAGAAAATGTGAGTCATTCTCACACCGAAGCAGATTTCTTCACGTAAATTATTAAAGGCTTTGCCGTTTTGGATCTGGCATAGAAACATGCAAGCTTTGGTGAGCAGATAACACACCGCTTCTTGTGAATTTGATACGAAGAGAAGAGAAGAAGTGTTGGACAGAATAAAGAGAAAACGAGCAAAGAGGTCACTGCACACGGCAGCTTAGGAAAAAAAAGCATGTGAGATGTTCAGTGGCTGCAGTGTATGTTTTTTATCAGGCCAAAAATAACAACATGAGAGTGGGGGTGGATGAAGCTATATTAGTATTACTCACAGCTCGGAAAATAGGCACATTCGAGAGAAACAGGAATGAACACTGCAGCAAATTATTTTGGACTCAAAACACCACCCCTGCTAAATCTGATCATGCTGACAGTGACTACAAAGCACTGGTGGCATCTTGAACTCTTCAAAGCCTTTTTTACTGATACACAAAAGCTGCGGAAGTCGTCTCTCAGTAGGGGAACACGAGGACACGGATCCTCTCCTTCTGAGGGACCAGAAGATCAGTGAAGGCCCCATGCATCGGTCACTGCAGGTGAAACGACACGACAGCTGTTAAAGGATGAAATACAGAAGTGATGTACAGATTTCCTTACAGCTTAAACACATTCCTGTTGGACTCTTTTACAAGACTACCAAAGACATATATGTGTGTCCTGGTCTAACAAACATTTTCTTTCTATGATAATCCTACATAATGTTGAAAAAGCAATCTGAAAAGCTGATTAAGCTAAATCTGATCATGGTATCCACTTTCAGGTTAGTGTCCCCGCCCTCTTTACTGTAATCCTCAAAAAAAAGGATAGCAGCATATTGCGGAAAATATGGCAGAGATTTAACACATAACTAATCTCCCATGTTCTATCTGCTCCCCATTTATCTGCACTCTCAGCCAGCAGAGGCTTAACACACACACACACATAGGGACACATCCAGTTTGTGGGCAAAAGGCAAGATAAGAGTCTGTAAAAATGTGCTCTGCAGTTTATATTCATCTAGACCCATATAACAAGTCACAGGGCAGAGAGTAAAGTGAATATGAGGGGGATAAAAGTCACAGCGGTGTAAATCTACTGACAGATCCTGTACCGGTGTGTGTGCAGCGCAGCAGAGGGGCGACGGAGCCATGTCGCTCGCGAGGTCCAGAGCAAGCCAGGTCTGCTTTTTCGTCAACGTAACTAGAGAGGAACACACAACACAAAGCAGCAGAAAAGTGGGACACAACTCAACTGTCCTCCTGAGAAACCCCAGGGATTATTTGTTTTTTCTTATATTGTTCCTGACTGAAGTACACCCACTGCTAAAACAGTCAAAGTATCAGTTATCTAACTGACTGACTAAGGCTATTCAATTCTTCATCTTATATTGTGTGTCATTAAGAGCTATCCTGACTCATGTTTTCTGAATAAGTATATAATAAAGCCTGTACACATAACCTGTCCGGATGTTGGTTCCCATGTGGATCCTCCCTGTTTCCCACCGGTGACATGTCAGCAGCTCTGCAGATGAATCCAGTGACACCGACAACAGGGGTTGTACCTGGAAAATAAAATTGTACGCATTGAATAAATGTGTGAAACATTTTGCAAATTTTAATAATGGTGTCTTTTAGAACAAATGTTGTACTGTGGTGTCTATTGTTATCTATGTTTTGTATTGTCTGGTTGTAGGCCATCGTATTGCCTAAGGAAATGGATTTGTCTTTGCTAAAAATAAAGACATTCAATCTATCCATATATCTATCTGTCCATCTATCTATATATCTATCTAATCAGAAATGTCTGTAAGTTGATTTTGCAGTAAATGACTAATATGCTGTTGCATTTCATTCATTATTTTTAGTTAATTTGCCCAAGTTGCCCTTTAGAACAAAAATAAATACAAACATTCATAACCTGAGACCATAGCTTAGGTTTAAGTTAAATGTGACACATTTTTTGTCCTAGCAGTGCAAATATAATAAATGTACATTGGCTGCACAGAAACTGTCCTTCTTAGGATAAAGACTATGGAGGCTATTCAGTATACTGTAACACTTTCTACAGCAACTTATTGTCAGACATTATATAAATCTTCATTATGTGGTATGTGTCTACCAGAAATAGATTTTTCTATAAATAATCACATTCTAATATTCATAAACCCTTCAAGGAAGACAGGCTGAGGAAAGACAGACCAGGCCCGCCTCTGCAGGAAATTAAATGAGTCCATGTTTATCTAACTTAACAGCAAATACATCTGATTGAACTAGTTTAAACAGCGAAATAAAACGTCGAGTGTGAAAACAGAAACAGGAGGGTCTTTGTGTTCCTACCAGTGTTCTCGGGTCTCCACATGCACCTGTCCCGCAGCATCAAACGGTGCGAAAATATCTCTTCTTCTTTTTCTTCCTCCTCTTCCATGCTGAGGGCCAAGCGCCAGATACTGCAAATCCACGCCGTGTGTGTGCAGCGGTTAGCCCGCAGTGAGAGGCAGCTCGCCCCCCGGACCTCTTCACGCTACGGACTAACACAAGAACAGAGCTTCGTCTACATGGCTGCCGAGACGAGCAGATGTGGGAGTGCCAACAACAGCTGCGCACTGACGGCAGACCAGTCCGGGGAAAACAGGATAAAGTGCGAGACGGAAGCCCCGGGACAAAGGAAATGGATGGGAGGTATTAGAGCGAACAGAGACGTCTTTGAGTGAGAGGGTCCGCACAGACCTGAATTAATCATTAGGCTCGCTCTCCAGCTGCTGCCACAGGTTTAGGGTCTTTTGTATGCGCACCCTTCATCCACCATCTGTGTTTCCTGGGCAACAGAGGACTGCCTGAAGGCAACACCGCCTAGTACACAGCAGCCACCTCAAGCCAAAATACACTATTCTGCTGTATTACACTTAAAAGAGAGATACTCTAGGTTTATGGTTTATATACGTCTAAAATGTCCTGATTTACTTATATCTCTGTTCAAACATTTATTTTTATTTTACTCAAGCAGCACAAAAACACACAATGACAATACGCAGCTGTGCTATCATAATGAATTGTAATTACATTACAAGTTGATTTAATGGTTTATTTAACATTCAAATGACAGCCTTATTGTTTGCATTGTGATGTTTACGCTTAATTTTTGCATTTTAGAGTGTCTTTTATATAAATAATACTTTGCCATATCTGTAATTGTGGTTTCATGTTTTATGATTAAAAACATCTTTGCAAGGTTGTGATTGTATTGTTTTATATAAATATGTGTAATAAATATAAAGTAATTGTTATGAAAATAATAATACATATGTAGTTGTATTTTTCTATATTTTTTAAACATACTATACGATGACTTTTTTCATAACATTAGAGTTTGCACAAAATGAATTCAAGCAAGTCAAGATTTGAGAGCATGCATGGACAGATGGCAGAAAGATCTGCAAACTTCAATGTATTCTTATATTCATGTGTTGTACAACTAGCTTTAACAGGAAATCTCTGTTGAAGCCCATATACCAAAATGTCCTTTGTGCAGTTTTTGAGGAGCTCTAGATAAAACAGCGCACCTTGCAGGAACATTTCTTACATTGCAGTGTCTAACAGGATGTCACTTCTAGGTCAAAAAGTCCTGCTTTCGTTTTGAGTGTGCATGCAAAGGAATATGTCTGACCTGAAAGGCCAACTTTGAAGATGTGAGAAAAGAAAACACATTTCTGTTGACACATTTCTTCTTGCAGGTTCAAACCATCTGTCATGCTTTCATACTCGATTTGAACTTAAACCAGAATTGTGTCTTAGATCTTGACTAGTGCTCAAATTGAACTTTTGCTTGTATTAGTGTTTAAATTCAATGTGACATCAACTTTTATCTTTAAATTATTTTTATAAGTAGGGCTGCAATTGCCAATTATTTTCCTTATCCTTTGATCTGCTGATTATGTTAGTTGACCACATTTTCTTGAATAATCGGTTATCAAGAAAGTTGCCAATTATTTTCCTGCTGTTCGACTAATCATTGCAGAAAATTGTTATGTTATTTCGGTATTGAAAAGCGTTGTCTCTCAGTTGAAGTAGGCTACTGTCTTTGTGACTTGAATGGGAGAAACAAATCAAATATTCAACTATCTGCATATTTGCGCAGTGAGGAACGTAAGAAAAGTAGAGTTTATTTTAGTTTGTTGGTTAAATATATTGTCATACTTAAACCAAGCTGCCTGAAACCTACAGTAACCTGCTGGTTCATAGCGTACAGTAAGTCAAACTCTAAATAAGAAAGTAAGCCTGGCTGCCAATCATGTTTTTATGAGTGCTGGTGTGGGAGAAGGAGATGATGAGCTTCAGACGCAGACTGCCATTTCTCCAGCTCCACCTTTAACTCCACGGTCACCGGCTCCAGATGCACTTCCATCTCGCAGTCCTTCGTTTCCTTTACTTGGCCTACAAAACAAACAGGAGTCATGATTATAATTTTAAGCAGACTGAAAAGAGAAGTTTACATCCATCAAAAAACATCCCTTTGAAAATGTCCTTTACATTGGACAGCAAATATGGAAAGGGAGTAAGGAAATCCTCTTTAATCGTCACATAGGGGCATGTACACAACACCGCACACACAGTGACATTTTTCTCTCTGCACTTAACCATTGCTAGTATGAGGATGTGTTTGGGAGCTATTATAAAGCACCCTGGTACTGTGCCTTGCTCAAGGGCACCTGGACAAGGCCCCTAATGCAAACTAGCACCTCTCAAAGTAACGATCCACAGTCGGGACTTAATAATATTTATAATAGAGTGTATTTATATGGCACTTTTGTCTGAATCAAAGTCGCTTTACAATATTAAGTAAGGGAGGGTTGGGGCACAGGGAGAACAAACAAAAACGTTTACCGGGCATGGATTGATGGGGTGGGGTGGGGGGGCTATGGGTAGGCAGAGGAGAAGAGATGAGTCTTGAGGCGGGACTGGAAGTGTGTGAGGTACTAAGTCAAGGAGAGCTTGGGGACTTGGGGTCTGCTGTGGGACTTTAAACCCTTGTTTCAATTATGTCAGAATGTTTTTAAATAAATAATCTCTGTACTTGGTTTTACAGTGTGAGAAGTCATCTGATAATGTAATGGGGATGTTCAACCTTTTGAAGCTGCTGTATTCTTCTGTTTAGTGCCGCTGTCCGCTCTCCGCTTTGGTTCCTTCTCCTTCTTCTTGTCCTCTTTGAGTTTCTTTCCCAGATCCTAAAGATGAGAGAAAACATATCCCACATAAAATAAATCTCCACGTCGGTTCGATACTTTATAATCCTGAAGCTAGTTTTTCATATATCCTGTCTCGATATTTCCAGACTTCAATTTGACTCCTTGTAATTCCTCTGAAATAGACCAGATAGTTGAACAATTTCTGCAGCTGCTCAGGATGTAAACTTGCCTTTTCAAGTGTTGGCGCAGCTTCCACCTCAGTCTCAGCGTGAAGAGCACCGAAGTCACAGAGGACGTCCACCTTCCCTCCTCTCTGCACCAGGCTCTGCAGCGGGACGTGCACAGAGCCAAGGGTTCTTTGGATGGAGGCGTCCTGCACCAGCTCTGGCAGAGATTTCTTCTTTTTGTCTTTAGACTTATCTTTGGTGGAACCAGATTTAATTGCAGACTATGGAGGAAACACAGACAGGAAATTATGAAAATGATATGCAGTGGAATCTGCCAAAACAGACTTGTGTGAGCTCTGGTGGATTTTACTTTGATCTATTGATATAAGTGGAACTTCAAATGCACAACCACCTCATTAATAAAACCATGATATGGAGACAGAAATGTTGTCCTCTGCAGATAAACAAAAAACGAAATTACACGGGAACATTTTATCTTTTTTGAATTTAGGGTCAAATTAACCTGACCTGCTCTCTCCAAGAAGTCAAACTGCAATACCCTCACACTAGGGGTGTGTATATTGACTGGTAGTGACAAAAACTGTGATATTTATAATCTTAATCAGTACTAAGATACATTCTGATATTGCATCAATCAAACATAAAACTAGAATAAGAATGACAGTACACTTCCCCTTTCTGATTTCCTCTCCACCCCTGATTCATTTCTCTTTGAGATACACGCTGGAATTTCTTAAGGGACTGTAGAGGGTAAGATAAGGATCAGATTCTCTTCCATTATGAGGTTGCTTAAGGGTATTTCAGTGGAATTGGCAGATGCCATAGAGTCTTGGGTCAGCTGCAGATGGCCCGGAGCAAACTTAGCCACTGATTTCTGTAATAGAACTGGAACCTTCTTGTTATCGGTCAACATAAGACTATGGAAAATCATAATCTATAATATTGAAAACATCTGTAATGATATATTTGCTTTTGGATCAATAATATGTATAATACTAATGAAAGTTACTTCAAAACAAATGCTGAACTATAAATACAATGTGATCACAGTATAATGAGATTTAGAGCAACCGAGGCGGTTTTAATAACCAGTGGTAAAAATCTAAATCTCATACAATATTGCCCGGTCAGTGTGAGCACACAGTTTCTATCTACGTGCCCCATTATGGGTATAAATAATACAGCATTTCCCTCAAATGCATACTCATTATTTTTGTTTGTACGTAGTGTATATTATATAGCTTTAAGAGGTTTTCATTTTGATTGAGTTGAATTCAAAGACAAACTCACTTCTTTCCCTTTACCGCCTTTCTTTTCTTTCACAGTCCGGCAGGGTTTGGGCCCCAGGACGTCTTCAGAGGCTGCAGGCCATGACAGAACCTAAAACGTCAGATGCCAGAAAATGAGTCCTAACACTTGTTGATGCATCTAAACATTTACCGACTGTTAACTCACGTGACCTTTTCCTCCACTATCGTCAGATAAAGGCCTTGATTGAAGAATCGTTTAAGGCCTCCGAGATCACTCATGACGTGTGTTTTTGTGTTACTGAAGTCAATGCAGTCTGACCATGTCAGCTTTGTTGTGCTGTGTCTTGTCACTGTAGAAATTAGAGAGTCCAAGTGTCGCACACAGTGGGTATTGCATGTACAAAAACACACAAAAGAATGTCTGTGATACATACAGCCGTTGAGTTAAGATAAGTGATACATGATAACTGATAACTAATCAGTCATCCAGTTTCACTTTGTGTACAACTCTCTTCTACAGTATTTTTCTCTGAAGTTCACGGAAACTGATAAGAAAAAGTTCCTCTCACTTCCACGTGATACACTACCAAATTAAATGAATAATGACATTATTTCAAAATTCCTTGGCACAATACTTTTTTTGTATCATTGAGTGGAAACATATGTGTCAGCTCTCACAGCGTTTATGATGTAATACAGTTTCATGCAGGAAGTCAAATGACTTGATTTACCATGAGCAATATCATGGCAGGTTTCCTCAGTAAACACTGTCAAGGCTTGTGTGTCAGGTTTGGAAGATTCTTTTTCACTACTTTTGTTGGATTGTAGGCCGGAAGAGCTGAAGCAGTCCTCTGTTATATGTGCTGCGTCACATTTAGAATCACTGTCATTATTCTGTAAAACAGCAACACACAAATAATTAAGTGCTTTTTAAAAGACCGTTTCTTGTCATGTTTACTTATGACATCTTTTATATTCCACAGTGTTTTATGTTTTACTTTAAATAACAATACAAAACAGGGCAAACATAAAACTGATGTTCATGCACACATATAGATTCTTAACAGTTTCTGTTGTTATGAAAGTAACTGTGTGCAATAAAGTTAAGTCTAATTTATTCGTATACCAAAAAGGGAAGTTCAATCTAACAGAAATTAAACTTTAAAAGCCAACAAAAGACTCTTGAAATAGGCCTTTGAAATGTAAAGAAAATGTGAAACTTTCACTAGAGTTCAGAATACAAAAGCAACGAAAGATTACGTCACCAGGTTAACAGTTTGATGACTGAGGAAGTCGTATGTGATAAAATAGCTGTAAGCGATGACAGGGAAATCAGGAGTGTTTCCGTCCTCACTCATCAGCGGGTCTGGGATTCCCCTCATCCTGCCCACACTCACTGTGGCTGATGCCCGGTCCACTATTAGATCTGAACATATGGAGAAAATGACAAAAATGATGATAAAAAAAGCCCCCTACATTCAGAGGACTCAGATCTACTAATAACAGCCCTCAGGCTCACCACTCTTCTTGGCCAAGCCTCTAAAGCAAAGTCTTTCCTCAGGGGAGATCCATGAGGCGTCCAGGCAGGAGAGCTGAGGGAGACTGTCCAGAGTGAAGCCTGGGTACGAGGGGGCCAGAGTGAAGGGGTTTCCCTCGAGCACCAGCGTCCTGAGGCAGGGGAGCGTGCTCACAGCGCGCAGCAGGGCCTGCTGGTCCTGAAACTCACAGTGACTCAGGTCCATACACACTAGCTGTGGCCTGAGATCACAAAAACAGTAATAAATTAAGAAGTGGATGGACTCTTTTTTTTTTTTCTCTCTCTTCATTTGTAATAAAACTTGTTGCACAAATAACATAACAAAAAATGTAAAGCTGCTTTTGAAATGCTGTAATAAACCATTATGTGCAGCTGGAAAATAATTGTTTCCAAAGAGCGCTCTAGTGATTTACTATCCCATTTCCAAAAGAGACACATTTTTTTATATATGTTTTTTTAATAACATACTTTTCAATGGTTAAAATTGAAGCAAGAGACCGGATATATCCTGTCTGCTGGCCCCCTGGTAGGGAGTTCCAAAAATGCTGGAACCTACATTTCCCATAAGGCAACTAGAGTATTTGATTTGATCTCCCTGCCTCCTATATGCCAACTAGTTTTAAAGGCCACCACTTTAGCTGATAATGCAGGGTATCTGTTTAATATTTAAAATATTCGCTAGAGACTCAATTTAAAATTAAATTGCAACTGTCTAAAAATCCCCCTGCCACACACAAAGATCCATTAACAAAAGAAATACTGAGATAATTAGTCCAAGCGGCCCCTCCATCCCCAACTTTCTGTAAAAGTTTCTATTCATTTGGATATTTAATTGTAATCGAAACAAGTATCTAAAAGCTGTTGTCTATGTTCATTTTCTACTCCAACGTGCAGGAATACATTCTTATTGCGCAAAATCGAAACAACGTCCCATGTCATCACATTTTTATCGTCAAACTAAGATAAATAAGATGAGATAACATAAGATACACTTTATTAATCCCAAATTGGAAAATGTTTTTTGTTGCAGCAGCATGTAAGAAAAGTATTGCACATAATACAAAATAAAAAAGAGTACGACATAAACATTATACAATATAAACATCTCAAGATAGATAAACCAGAACTAAAAGTGAAAATATAAGAAAAGATATGTAAACTATCTGACAAATAAAACACCAATATAAACTGTTATCATAGTAGTATGATGGAAAGTAGTACTTAAATGGTACTTGTGATAAAAAAAACTGGACTTCATGTCTTTGTAGATAATTACAACTATTCTTAATTGATGATAAATAAGGAAAGCTTAAGAAATGCTTCGCTATGTTGATGTTTTATGGAGATATGTCATTATAAAGCAATACAATTTATTCTGATGTATTTATTTTCTGAAGGAAATCAGAAAATGTTATGTATTTGCTTAAAACATGAGAAAATGGCTCAATTGTGTGTAAAATACAACAATTATAGGCTTTTGCTCTACATTGAAAGCCAGACATAATGAAGTGCATAAATGTATACTGTAATTGCCCTGGGATAAAAATGCTGAATGTAACAGGTTTTAATCGGAACGGACATTTTTGTGTTTCAGTCACAGGTTTCTGTATTTTGGCTAAACAGTTTTCTTGGAGGTTGGAATTCCAGAGTAATAACACAAGTTATGCAAGATACTGAGACAACATCTCACAGATGTCATACATCTTTTTAAAAAACATTTTCTACCTAATCGCTGTCATCACTGTGTCACCAGCTGACCACTTTAAGAGGAAAACTACCGGAGTTATCTCATTAGGTGTCACCATTCAAAAAATTCAGGCACACTGCCATCAAATCAGAATATCTGTGAAATCTAAAAAACCTTCATGACGCTCCATGACATGACATCAAGTCATTCTCTTCCCTTACTCATAATAATAAAAAGTACACTTTGATTGAGATCAGGGTCAACCTGGTTGTGGTTTACCTCTTAAATAACCAGCAACTTCTTACGTGCGTGCATGTGTGCATGCTTGCTTGCGTGCGTGTGTGAGAACTAACCAGTGTCTTCCTGTAAGATAACAGATATCATCATCAGAGCCCAGACAGTTTGAGCCAAGGCCGAGGTACTCCAGGTGAGGAGGCAGGCGGTGGGTGAGACTGTTTAGTGCAGACAGCCGGTTGGCACGTAACTCCAAAATCTGTGTAAGCACAAGTTTTGCAATCAGAGTTAATCATCTCCACATCACAACGCCTGCGACACTGATGTGTACGTGTAATTTTCAGTGAGATACCTCAACGGAGGAAAAGCTTTTCTACTCTGTTTCAAATATTCAATCAAACTGTGGGACCTTTGCAGAGGACACTCACCTTTAAAGTGCTGGGTAGGTTTTCTGCAGGTATTTCTGAAATGTTGTTGGAACTCAGCACCAATTCCTCCAGCTTTGAGAACTTTAACAGCCCATCGTCAATGACAGATACCTGAACACAACACAGGCAAAACAAGTTTTAGTTTGAAGTTGGGCGTAGTCCCAGTAAAGGGTGCGAAGGGGGAAATAGGCCCCCCCCCTCCTCTGACTTAATATCCCTAAGTTTAAGAGTCTCAAAACTTTACAACTGTGTACCTGAGATCAAAATGAAGGCTGAGGTCCAAGATGGAGTGGTATCACTTTTCACCCCTCTCCTGATTTGAAACCACAGCCTTATTTGATCCAATCGCAAGATGGATTCTATTTTGATATAGTGTTGCGTTTGTTAAACATGGCCCCTATTGACTTTAAGTTATTAAGACCTTTTTCCCTTTTGGGGATTTTTTGTCATCGGGAAGGCATGCGAGGAAATCAAATGTCTTCTCCATGAATTAAAGGTAACAGGGTGAGTAATTTGGTACAGCTACAAAGGGTGGTCAGAGTTGTCAGAATCAGCTCATATAAGCTGCTGATGAGTTTTTTTTATATAAAAAGGAGAGATTGTTCCACAGTGTTGGAGCTTGAATAGTAAAGGCATGATTCCACATGTTTTAAGGAGATGGAGGTACTATTAACAACATTAGACTATTTGATCTGAGTGAGGTGGAGATAAATCAGTACACTCACTCCATTGTCCACAATGCGAAGTGTAATAAAGTAGTTGTAGATGAAGTCTGCGTGCAGGCGTTCATGTTGGAGCACAGCCAGCTGTCTGAGGGCCGAGGCCTGAGGGCTCCAGGCTTCATCCAGCCGCCACGGAGAGTGAGGGCAGGTCAGCAGGTCGAGGAGGGCGTCTGTCTCCTCCGTCCCTGCTTCTTCTGTACTATCTCTGCTCTTTCTCTGGAAACATATTCACTCTGTTTATCAATGTCCTGTATAAAGAAACTATAGCTACTGTATGCAGTTTTGATATTGCAGGAAAGGCTAAAAGCTTTAACAAATAGACAAAACAATGAAACTTCCCCATTTGATTTTCTGTTGAATTATGCAAACGATTCGTTTCTAGAACATACTGCCATTTTATCAGAATATAAGAACAAACCAGTCTTTAAAGACCTTCAGAATATAGACAGGAATAAAACTGCATGATTTGTGTAGGAGCTTCTGAGACTTCTGGCTTAAAGTATGAGAACTATTTTTATAGATTTCAAACATATGTTTTCCATACAGTTGGCATAACACTACAGGTAAATAGAATAAAAGATTAACTAATAGATTTCACTTTGAAACTTACCCAGTTGATTAAAAATACATTTTTCTTTGTAATAAAAGTTTTCTGGAATGTAATGTTTAATGTTGAACATGCAAACAAAGCATTATCCTATGCTCAGTTTTAGTGAATAAGGAGAATTCAAAAGGTCAAAGTGAAGCACCATAAACACACTTAAAGAGGCCCTATTATGCATTTTTGGGTTTCCCTTTCCTGTAGTGTGTTATTTAGGTTTTGTGCATGTAAATGGTCTGCAAAGGCCAAAATCCTAAAGTTCCCTCAAGAGGGAGTTTCTCTCCCACACACTCCCCCTCTGCCCGAAACGCCTCCATTGGACTCCACTACATAGTGACATCACTATGTAACACTCGCACTTCTATTGGCTAGCGCTCCAACACATTGGACGTGATTGGCTAACGGCCCACGGCGGCATGCGTTGAAGCTTCAACGCTTCTGCCCATTCACTTTGAATGGGGTGACGTCACGCTTTGCCGAACTGCATTGTGGGAGCAAAGCGTAGCCAATCAAACCGCGTGCTTGTGTGTCTGGGCGGGATATTCATGTGGTTGGTTGTTGGTCGAGCTTCAGACAAGCCCACCGGCATACTTCAACGCACGCCGCCGTGTGTAGGGGCCGTAATGCTGCGTTCACACCGGACGCGATGCGATGTTTGGGGGGCGGCGCGATTACATGTAAAGTAAATACAAAAACGCGGACAGACGCAAATTCACTCTGACGGCGAGCATGAAGCGGTTGATGCGAATTCTGCGGCGCGATTGAGGCGATTGAAGGGGGCCGCGACACACGCTCGAGTTCAATTTTTTCAACTCGAGCGCCATATTCGTGTGACGCGATCTCGCCGTAGCCAATCAGCGGTGAGGATCTCAGCCTGCCGTCACTGACGTTCAACCAGAAAACGTCAGCCGTTAGCTGTTAGCAGTTAGCACACAGAGCTCACAGCTCCTCATATCTGTTCAGAAACTAGACAGAAGTTAAAGAAGAACAAACCACAGACTGTCTGTGTCATGGTGAATACAGTCGCTGGTTTATTTATGTCTGTATGCCATTGTTGTGAGTGTGGACGGAGCATATACAACGTTAGCTTAGCCTGATCGATCCGATCTCCATTCAGAAAATACGCATTTTAAAAGGTTTTTCGCCTGCCGTCTGTCTGCAGACTTGTCAAAGCATTAATTCATGGTTTTTACTAACCGGTATCAGTATGCTGTTACTTCGGCATCATTTTGAAACTTGTATTACAATTAAATCACGGTAAAATATGTTCATTTTGTTGTAGTTGTAGCCAGCGCGTCTTGTTTGAATGACGCGAGTAAACACAGCTGACAGCCGCGGTGAAACTCGAGCGTTTAGAGCGATGCGATAGGAGCGATTCGAGCGAAGCGAATATTCGCATCGCGTCCGGTGTGAACGCAGCATAAGGGTTGACAAATCACAACAGAGCCGGCCAGCAAACCAATCAGAGCAGATTGGGCTCTGGTTTCAGACAGAGGGTGGAAATATGTATGCAGTATTGCTGGTATGCATACAGGCAGTATGAGAAAAATAAAGCACTTTTTCAACATTAACGCATGTAAACATGTCACAGTAGAGGCAGCAAATACAAATATGAACATGAAAATGAACATCATATGTCCTCTTTAATCTCTTTAGTGTTTTCTCTCCATAAGTTGTAATGAAAACATGTTATGGAAGCAAAAAAGCCCCTAAACCCCTGAAAAGACATTTTTTGAAGACAACCTGTTAAACCCTACAACCAATTTAAAAAAGGAAAAACTCACCCAGGTGCCATATCCACATGGAAAGTCATTTAGACATAGGCGGCGAATCTGCTTCTCCAACACAGCAGAAAGTTTCTTTGAGCTCATGGCTGTTACGACTTGTTAACATATAACATGTAACATGTATTTGTTAAGAAGAAACACATGAGGTAAAGTCATTTTCTTTTCTCAGGTAATAGCCCCATGTGTTTATTTACAAATGGCGGCCGGTTGCCCAGCAACAGCTTGTGCTCCCTGCATGGAGTCAGGACTTCAGAGTAAAGGTGGAGCAGATATTAGTTTGGGGGGAGGGTGTTTTTGACAAAACTCTGAAGTGACTTAGTATAATTAAACAAATTCAAGACAAAAAAAGGAGATGATGTCAGGTTTAGACAGATTCTCTTCAAGAAATTGCTGTTGCATAATGTAAAAATAAAACGGTTGACTGAATTTTATTGTAATTTAATAGTGATTTTATTCATAAAGCACTTTTTAAATGTAATTTACACATTGCTTCACATTTGTTAAGAATAACATTAATCCACAGACATAAACAAGTGTGCACGTGTAGCTTAATTACAAAATTAAGCTACAAACCATGCTGGTTTAACAGTGCACAACCTCACTGGTGATGCTGGCACCACATACAAAATACTCCTGCTACTGTTTTTTATTTTTAACTGAACATCAAATGTATAGATCATTATTTTGCAGTTTGCATTGCCACCCAACACTACACCACTGTGGTGAGCAATGCCCCAGAACAGCAAAATGGAAACCTACAGATTTTTCAGAAGATACCGCAACTAAAGCGTCATTCACACTATGATGAGCAAAAAAAAATCCCATGTTTAGATATAAAAACCCAGTGTGTGTCAGCTTAAGAACATTAAATCAACAGCAAAAAGAAAAAGTTCCACCATGCCTGTTGGTAAAGGTAAGCTGTTTTTACATGACAATTAAATTGATTTGGATACTGTTTTGGTCTAGTTTAAGTTGCATTGGTTATTATGTTGTGATTTCAGGAATATTGTTTGATTGACTATAACAACCTCTTAAGCAAACTACCAAATCTGAAATAAGCTTTTATCATTAAAAAATAATCTCTCTGTCTCATCCTGTTTTGACACTGTGATAATGATACTTGTGACACTTGTTTGTGTGTGACCTCCTGTAGAGCTCCTGCTTTGCTCCATCCTGATGATGCACGTCTCTCTTATGATCTCCAACCCAACACCAAGGCCTCTTAAGTATTACTTTTCGAAACTGCAGGAATGGTCTGTAACATGTGATCTACGGGAAGCAGAAAAAGAATACGTGAGTAAACGCATCCTACTTTATGAAGTGCATTAAGAGTGACACCGTTTTTTTCGCATATATCTTTAGAAAGACACGAGATATCCCAAGTTGCTTCACCAATTATTCTGCAGGATGTTCTGACTCGGGTTCCGTAAAAGAAAAAGGCTTGTGAGTAACCAATGTACTCACGGGAGTCAGGTACATCTTGCACATCAAAATTGCATCTAAAAACTGTCCGTAACAGACTTGATAATTCAATACTATAACCCTGCAAAGACGAACAAAAACAAACGTCTGTAGGTTAACACATAGTTTGCAGAGTGCCAGCAGTTGCCAGTTTCACTCTTTTGGACATGCGCACTGAGGCTGCGTTACGGCAATGTCACCTCACCTGTCGTAAATAAAAACAAAAAACAGAACCTTAAAGGTAGTGTAGTTAATTCACTTCGGAAACACTTTTTGTTATATTCCATGGAATGCTCTTAACATCCCGATAGCAAAGAATAAATTAAATGCTTTGACAATAAATATATACAAATATTTCATCTGTGGAAGCCGTGGAAGCCGTGACGCTGTAAAAAGCAAGACCAATTGTCAGCCTTTCATCTCGTGCACAAACTTATCTCGTGCCCTCATTGGTCATGTGCGCGTTCGTGTGTGTTGGAGGAGGGGCTCTGTAAGGAAGTCTGAAGGAAGGGGCACATTTTTTTCGGTTGTGTACTTTCAAATTCTAGCTTACTCGAGCTGGTTTCTCCATTCTTACCTACCCTACCTTTAACATAGTCCAGTAACAATAATATTCATAATAATATATATATACAAAAAAACGGTGTGATTAATTTAAATAATATTTAACACAAACATATTTTCTAAAATAAATGCTTAAATGGCTCATACAAGATGTGTAGGTAAAAGCCAAATAATGTAAGACAACATGAGACATATTAGAAGGTGAAGCCTCCTTACCAGTGGTCACTGTAAGTAGGCTACATTTACTCAGTGTTGGTGTAAGTGTAAGGTTGAGTACATATTCGAGGAATTCGTTTTTCATGTATTGCTACTAAACTTTACTCCTAATTTGTCTGACTGCTTTATTAGTTAGCCTACTCATATCCCTGCTGAATAGAGACACAATTTTGGAGATTTTCGGATTTTAACTGTAAAAGTAATGATGGCTGACAGCTTCGAAGATCTTCATCCCTTAATTTTTTTGTATTGACTCTCACTACCTCCGCAGATCAAAGTCATGTTTCCTGAAAAAGGAAGTGAACAAGGGGACATCTATTTAAGAAACTTAACTTTACCCCTTGAAGGAATTACTCTTGGAAACGCCACTGAAATGGAGAACCAGACCATCTGTGCCATCCACGATTACCTCAACCACCACCTGCCGCCAATAGTCAAGAATCTCTCCATGGGCCAGAACAGCATCCTCAAAAGAACTACAACCTTTCTCACTCAGTTCACAGCAGCTGTTAGCAAATCAAGAGAAGGGGAAGATGTGCTAAAACACTGCCACAGAAATATCACAACTTCAGACCATTTCAGTATGAAAAGACACGGCCTCAGTATCATTTACTACTCCAGACGATGGTTTGAGGAGTACACAGAACCAACCACCTGTCTGGGCTTGACAGATTGAGAAAAATGTATCAAACACTCCTCAACAGTTATTTATTCATCTTATTATTTGTTGGTATGCTATTTAAGGTTTTCTATGTTTATTTATTGATATTTGCCAGTATTTATTTAATTTATATTGAATGATGTCTTCCACCTTGTCTATTTTTGTATTAATAAGTTGCCAATAATAAAATATTTAAATCATGAGTGATTTAACTCCTAGGAGACAATTTAATGTTATTTACTCTTCATCATCATCCCATAATCTATTACAATGCACCTCTGTTTTGAAACACACATACACACAAACACACACAAACACACACAAACACACACACACACACACACACACACACACACCTCAGGTATAAGATGCAGTGTCCTTGTTTGAATGGTGGCTGCCTATGATATCAGAGACAGCACACAAACATGTGACATGCCCTCGTAACCCTATGTGAGTGTCACAGTTAGCCTGCTCCTATTTTCCACCTCTGAGATGGTTTTTGGGATTGGTTGGTAGTTAATCAAATCAAATCAAATCACATTTTATTTATATAGCACTTTTCATACCCAAAGGTAACTCAAAGTGCTTCAACATAGACAATTTACAAATAAAATCAAAACCCCTTCCCAAGTAATAATCAGAGTAACACATAGCTTTGTGTATACATATATATGTGTATACACATATATATATATATATATATACACACACACACACACACACATAGTAAAAAATAAATACAATAAGAATAAAGTGATAATAAAATAAGGAATAAAATCAGATTAATAAAAATACAATTAGAATACAATTCAGTTAAAAGCAAAATGATAAAGGTGGGTCTTGAGTTTGCTCTTAAAAATATGCTTGCTCTCTGTTGCTCTCAGGTCCTCTGGGAGGCTGTTCCACCGTCGTGGGCAGTAATAATAGAAAAACGCCTCACTGTGGGTCTTTGTTTTCACTTTTGGTACGATTTAAAGGCCAGTACCAGAAGACCTGAGGGTTCTAGAGGGCTCATAGGTTTAAAGCAAATCCAATAATTAGCTAGGCCCAAGACCATTTGGAGCTTTTAAAACCAATAAAAGTATTTCAAAATGAATAACCTTGGCCAGAAAAGCTTCCTCTACACTGTAAGCCCGGATAAATTGAATCTACTTAAAAAAAATAGAGGAAAGTGGTTGCCTTTAAAAATGTAAGTAAAGCATTATGAAAACTTGAGTCAATTAAACTTAAATTTATCAAGGACTTGAATTGTTATTTGAAGTACAATCCACTTCATGTCAAGTTGATAATACTTACATTTTTAAGTCAACCACTTTCTATTTTTTTAAGTAACGCATTAGGAAAACTTGAGTGAATTTAACTTAACTTATTCAAGGACTGGAATTGTTATTTGAAGTACAATGCACTTCATGTGAAGTTGATTTTACTTAAAATATTGTGTAATATCAATTGCTTTGCCCAATTATTTAACTTAGAATTTTTAGTTGAAAGTGGTTACATTTCGTATTTATATTTTTTATTCCGTCAACTACAAAAAAGAAAAAGACACAAAAATAAAGTTGTACCTTTTATTAAAACTTGAGTGTTTCATTTGGAGCTTCCTATACAAACTGTGGCAAAAATATTGTACCATACATTTTCCTGAGAACATTTTTCACATGAAACATGAAAGTATAGCAATCTTTCTATATATAAAGATATATAGATCTATATATTTATGTAGAGCTCTGAAAAAATTAAGAGACCTCTGTAAAATGATCAGTTTCTCTCGTTTTACTATTGGTAAAAACTGGATTAACATTTGTGTTTTATTCTATAAATTAATGACTGACAACATTTATCCCAAGCGTTTATTTACAAAAAATACCAAATGTTCAAAGTAACCAAAAAAGATGGAATGTTTTCAGACCTCGAATAGTGCAAAGAAAACAATTTAAAATTCATTTTTCAACAACACAATACTAATGTTTTAACATAGGAAGAGCTCAGGAATCAATAATTGGTGGAATAACCCAGATTTTCAATCACAGCTTTCATGCGTCTTGGCTGCTCTGCACCACCTTTCACATTGCTGTTGGGTCACTTATTAAGCCACTCCTGGCACAAAAACTCAAGCAGCTCGGCTTTGTGTGATGGCTTGTGACCATTCATATTCCTCTGGATCACATCTGGATTGACCTGGCTGTGGGGCATGGAGCATTGTCCTGCTGGATAAACCCACCCTCAGCTTAATTCAGGTGTGAATGGAGGAAGACCAGATCAAGACCCTGTCATGGAACAGTTGGAACCCCACTGAAAACCTCTGGATGTGATCCAGAGGAAGATGGATGGTCACAAGCCATCAAAGAAAGCCGAGCTGCTTGAGTTTGTGTGCCAGGAGAGACATAAAGTCACCCAGCAACAATGTGACAGACTGGTGGCGAGCAACCAAGACGCATTGAAAGCTGTTATTGAAAAATCTGGGTTATTCCACCAAATATTCATTTCTGAACCCTCCCTAAGTTCAAACATTAGTATTGTGTTGTTTAAAGGTGGGGTAGGTAAGTTTGAGAAACCGGCTCGAGATACACTTTTTGTTATATTCCATGGAATGCTCTTATCATCCCGAAAGCAATGAATATCTTAAGTGCTTTGACAAAGAATCCATAAAAAAATGTCATCTGTGGAAGCCGTAGTACTGTAAAAAGCCCGACCAATCATTTTAGCCGGCCCGGCTAAAATAACTGGCCTACCTGCCTGTCAGCCTTCCATCTGTGCACAAACTTATCTCGTGCCCTCATTGGTCATGTGCGCGTTCGTGTGTGTTGGAGGAGGGGCTCTGTAAGGAAGTGGCAGATTTTCTCCGGTTGTGTATTTTCAAATTCTACGCACTCGAGCTGGTTTCTCCGAAATTACCTACCCCACCTTTAATAATGAATAGGAACTTGTTTTCTTTGCATTATTTGAGGTTTGAAAACACAGCATTTTCTCTGTTATTCTGACCAGTTGTAATTTTCTGCAAATAAATGCTCTAAATGACTTCTTTGTTTGGAGTTTGGGAGAGATGTTGTCAGTAGTTTATAGAATAAAACACAAATGGAAATGCTAACAAGCATAGGTCAAACAGTGCAAACATGCAACAACAACAACAAAATGCAATATTGAAGCCTAAATATTTGCCATATGTAACAGTAGCCAACTTTTCAGAACCCCGTTTCACAATGTAAGCTGATTTTTCAAAGTCTGAATTTTGGGTGCCAGCTCAACTTTACCAAGGTTTAACATCACCTGCTGAACAAAGTGGAAAGTGTTTTTCATGCACTTTGGGTACTCCAGTTGCAGGGCATAAATGAGTCCGAACAGGACACAGAAGGCCTGAGGCAGGTTAGCCGGTCCATCCATCACCACATTCCCCTCCAAGACGATTGCCACACTGGATGGGTTGAGCTGAGGATTTTCTCCGACACAGAGGATTCCCAGTGGAGTTTGACATAAGCACATCTTATCAGCCGCATCCTAACAGAGAAATAAAGAGATTGACATATAATTCTACATCGTCCACCAAAAAGTAGCTTCCACTGTTTATAATGAAAAGCATCATACAACATAAAAAACAAAAGTAATAAATAAAAAGACAATCTGGGCCTTAAATTGGCCTTACGTCAGACGCCATAACTGGATCTGTACATTACAAGTACTAGTTGCAAATTGTGCACCAAATATGG